GAGGCCAAATGAGGGTGCAAATGAGGCCATATGCTGAAGTCCATCCTATGGATTTTATGTCACAGGAAATAGGATGCAGGCAAAGATAGAAAGAAATAGAAAAGGAGACTGGGAGGAGAGAGAGGCAGATTAAGAAGATATGACCACCCATGGAACCAGACAGTGCCCCATTGATGCCCTTCTGGCCTTCTCAGGGTGGGGAGAGCCCAGAGCTGGTTCAGGTTTAATGAGAACACCCAGGCACCTTCCCTGGGAGGGGAACTTCCACACTTTTACAGTGCTGTGGATCAGGGGCATTGCTCCCTGGAAGGGCTCAGAGCCTCGGGGGCTTTGGGGGTGCGTGGCCCCTTCTGGGACATGACCCAGCCTCTCACACCCGTGCTGAAGCCGTTGTGCCCCCTCGGGAGGGGTGAAAGCCCCTCAGGCCGAGGTGTGAACACAAACAATGTCCCGTGTGCCCGGGACCTTCCCGGGAAGGGAGGGGAGTGTTCCAGCTGAGCCTGTTGTGGGAGGGAGGGCATTGGCATGGGGACAAACACCACCCCGTGTGAAAAACGCCAAGCACTTGGTTTTAACATTTTAAAAGTTTAATAGTAATAAAATGGTTATAAAAATAGTAATACAATTAGAGTAATGATAATTTGGACAAATTGAATTAGGACAATATGAGACAATAAGAAGAAAGAGTTAGGGACAGTCCGGGTACCTTTTCTGGGCAGCATAAGCCCAAAAAAGGCCCCACGTTAACAGAGGATTAACCCTTAAAAGCAGCAGCCTGTTGCACATTCATACACCTCATCCATGATGCATAAATTCCATTCAAACACAGGATTCTGTCTGGGCAGTGTCAGCTTCTTCCTTCTAATCCTAACAGCTCTTTCGAGGCAGGAAGTTCGTTTCTTCTGATAAGAGGGCAATAAATTCTCTTTCTCTGAAGGATTCAGGTGTCCTGGGGCTGCTATCTGGTGTGAGTGCCTCATTCCTTTCTTAAAAAATCCCACTAACATAGTTCTTATTTTAACCACAAAAGTTACCTTTTAATTACAAGACTACATTTACTATTAAAATGTTGACACAGCACTACTAATCAATACATCAAAATACAGATGGTAAATATCTGCCTAGAGCCATGTAATATGCACTTTTCACACCCTGCCTCTCCAGGGTCTGCTTCTCATCTGCCTCAAAACCCAGAGCTTCTACAGTGGCTTCTCCTCCTATGCACATCAGAGGGCTTGCCAGCACACACCCCAAACCCCTCCTACCCCCAAACCCTTCCTTCCCCCAAATCCTTCCTTTCCCCAAACCCCTCCTTCCCCTCTCCTAGAGGGGAGCCTGGCCCCAGCAAAGCTCCTGCTGCGTCTGCAAATGGCCAAACGTTTGAGCTATTAAACACTAATATTTCATGTATTTTAGTCTCTCACAGGAACCTCCAGAGATTTCTACTCCAGGCCCACACCCAGAGCAGGGCTGATGCCAAAGCTGTACCAGGGTGCTTGGGGGCTTCAGGAAATTCAGTGTTGGACATTCCCAGGTGTGGAGATCCCTCTCCACTGCTGCAGGATGTGTCCCACAGCTCCAGCACTCATGTCTTTACTCAGTTGTTTGGGTGGTTTGGGTTGATCTCTAGATCAGGCAGTCCAGCTATCTGCTCAAGCAAGGCCAGCTGGACCAGGTTGCCCATGGCTTTATCCCTCCACTGGGATATGGAGAGCAGAGACTCCAAGCCTGGTGTTTTGTGCTGTTTTGTGCTCCTTTTGCAGGCTGGCCTTTTGCACATGGCTCATTTCCATCCTGCTCTTCTCCATGTCCATCCTGCTCTATGGTGGCCAGATGCTCCTGCTCACTGGCACTCTGATCCTCTCCTCACTGCTGCTCTTCTCCACTGCGAGGAACAGCCTGAGGTGCCCCATCCAGTTTGGCCCAGTTTCCTTGAGAACAGACTATGGGGAATCCTTTTGGCTGGCACTGGCCACAGGTGAGTGCTCAGCTTGCTTCTGGGGCTTTCCTCCTCCATCCCTGCAGAGGTCATGGCCCACAGCACCTCATCCCTTCTTTCCCCATGGCTGGTCACAGAAAATGATAATTTTAGGTTAGAAGATTTTAGGTTAGAATTAACAAGCTTGGGGAGAGAGAGATGAGCAGTGCAGAGAATCGAATGTTTGAAGTTGCCTGCTGGGTAGAGATTCCCTCTGCCTTTCAGGAGCTGCTACTCTTCCACACAGCAATTGTTCCCTTTGCTCAAAGCAGAATTTTCCATGTCACACCATCACCTCCAGGGAGAGCAGCCTTTTCCCAGTAGCAGGTGGTAACTAAATCCCCCTGGTGCTCCTCTTCTCCAGGCTAAACAGAGCCAGGTTCTCCAGCCTTTCCCTGTGCATGGTGGGCTCCAGCCCCAGCTCTGCCCCCATTCATTGACCCCTCTTTTGTGCTGGGGAGCCCACAGTGATGCCAGAATCAAGGTGGGGAAAGAGAAAAAAACCTTTTCCTGCCTGCTGGGTGATGCCACAGGTCCCTGCTGTGCAGCTGGGACCAGCAGAGCTCCTGCAGAGGTGTCTCTGTGTGTTTGCAGGGCTGCTGTGCCTGCTCCTGGGGCTGGCCATCATCATCCTCAACTCTGTGCAGCCACAGAAGCTGAAGCTCATCTTCAGCCTGGACAAGAGCAATGAAGAGGAGCAGTGGGACCAGTCCTGGCTGCCAGCCCAGCCCAGCTGCTCTGCACAGGGTGGGTTCATGGTCCCCCTTGGGGAGCTCTGCCCTGGGACAGCCACCCAGCTCTGAGGCACAGGGAGGCAGGGCAGGGCCTGCAGGTGCTGCTCCTGAATCCTCCAAACCCATCAGGAGCCCAGCTGGGAAGGGACATGGCAAGGACCAAGTGATGAGAATATCCAGATCTGAAAAAGTGTCTCAAATACAACAGTTTTTCTTGGGGTTTGGGTGTTTTTTAGTTTTGTTGTTTTTGTTGTTGTTGGTTTTTTTGTTTTTGTTTGTTTGGGGTTTTTTCCTGTGTTACTGCCATCCCAACAAGCCCTGAGTCCTCCCCAGGGTACAGAGATTAAATCAGAACAAACTGGGGACAAAGCAAGTAACTGCAGACTCATAGATATGAACCAAAGGAAAAGCAGAGCCCACAAGAGCCCCCTCACCCTGAAGACCCTCAAAAATCCCCCCTGCCCCTGGATGCTGCCCCATCATCAGCCAGGAAGCTGAGATGGAGCTGTGCTCCCCCTGTACCCCACATCCCCTCTCAGTGTGAGGGGAGGAGCAGGATGGCAAAGAGAACACAAATCAGCAGGGTGATGGAGGAACCAGGCTGGGAGGGAGGGAGAGGAGGAGAAGGTGGGAAAGGAGGAGCAACAGTGCCCTGGAGAGCAGCTATAGCCAATTGGGGAGAGCTGAGCAGCACCTCCAGTCTGGGCTCCTCAGGACAAATGTTCCTTAGTGAGTGTCCTTGAAATGTGCCAAGGAGACATTGGTCCCCATGGGAAGGAGGCTGCTGCTGGGGGCTTGCCAGAAGTGACCTCCAGATGTGCCCCATGGGCCTTCTTAAGGAACCAGCCCCCTAAATGTGCACAGTGTTTCAAAGGAGAGGGGTTTTTTAGCAAAGTTTTATTGAAAATAATTCCTGTGCAGAACAAGCCACATTAGTGACACACAAGTATCATCTGGCAGAAATGAGTAACTTACCAGCAAGGATCTCAGGAAGAAAAGTCAAAATATTGAAATTATGTAGTTTACAATTAATAATTAATTGGAATGAAGGTGCCCAGGTTTCCAGCATTTGGATATAGAATCCCAAAATAGTTTGGGTTGGAAGGGACCTTAAAGCTCATCTTGTTCCACCCCCTACCATGGGCAGGGACACCTTCCACTATCCCAGGTTGCTCCAAGCCTCATCCAGCCTGGCCTGGAACACTTCCATGGGCAGCCACAGCTGCTCTGGGCACCCTGTGCCAGGGCCTGCCCACCCTCACAGGGAACAATTCCTTCCCAATATCCCATTCATCCCTGGCAATGGGAGTTATTCCTCCTCATCCTGTCCCTCCATCCCTTGTCCCCAGTCCCTCTCCAGCTCTCCTGGAGCCCCTTCAGGCCCTGGCAGGGCTGTGAGGTCTCTCTGGAGCCTTCTCCTGTCCAGGTGAGCAGCCCCAGCTCTCCCAGCCTGGCTCCAGAGCAGAGGGGCTCCACCCTCAGAGCATCTCCGTGGCCTCCTCTGGGCTCTGCAGCAGCTCTGTGTCCTCTGGAGGCAGCTCTGCAGGTGGGGTCTCACCTGAGTGAGGCAGAGGGACAGATTCCCTCCCTCCCCTGCTGCCCAGTCAGCCCAGGTGTGCTCCAGCTGGACAGGGATAACTTCATTCTCCTCTCCTATGGCATCTTTTTGGCCCACACTAGGTTACAAGTTTCATCTAATAAAGGCCAAATTTGAAGGTGAAAAGAATCAAATCAGCACATCCCCCACAGCAGACTCCATGGTACATTTACTCAGTCTTTGTTTCTGGGGCAGGTTTTTTATTCCAGCTCCTGCAGCATCCACCCTGCAGAAGCTGCATCCATACCTGGCTTTCCTGGATACACCTAAACCAAAAATTGTCATGTTTGGGGAAAAAATGAGCAGGTTTAACCCCAGGCTTTTGGAGTGGCAGGTGCTCCCAGGCAGAAATGTGAGCCATGAGCTGTTTCTCAGTTTCAGTGGGAACAGACCCTTGGAGAATGGAGCAGGAAGGACATGGAGCAGGAAGGACATGGATTCCTCCTGGGACAGGGTCCCCAGGTGGGTGTGCAGCCCCAGTCTCTGAGCTGCTCTGGCAGCCTCCAGCACAGCCTGCCCCTTCCAGAGGGACAGATCACAGGAGACACAGTCTGGGAAGGACTTCCCAGCAAGGACCCATCCCAGGGTGGATTCAAAGGCAGCCGGATGGGGAAATGCATCTCTGGGGACATCAAGGAGAATTTGTTCTGCCCTTTGGGTCCATCCTCAGGGAAAGAGTGAGGACTTTCTTCTAGACACTGTTGATTTCAGTGGGCTCAGAAGGACACAGGCTCTTGCTCACAAAGTGAGGGTTGATGAACACCTCAGGCATTTCCTGGTCCTCCTCTGCTTTGTCCTCACGGAGATCAAAGAAAGTTTTCAGCAGGTCCAGATTGAGGTGGTGCATGGCCACGATGGTGATCCCAGCCACGAAACAGAGCAGGCCTGGGAACAAACACACACTCTGACTGGGGTCCTGTCACCCAGCAGTGTCCCCACCCCTTGCATTGTCCCCTGCCAGAGGGAAGGTGGCCTTCCATGGTATGAGCTGTTCTGAGCATCCTTAAAGCCCAGGCACAGGTCTGAAAACCCAGGAGGGTGATCCCAATGTCTTTGCACCTCAGGAGCTATGAAAGCCTTGAGATGAGGATGGTGTTTGTCCTTTTCCCACCCCTCCCCACACCTCTGCCAGGATCTGCATTCCAAGGCCAGGCTGGGGCTCTGGGGACCTGCACTTCCCAGCTGGGGGGGAAGCCCTGGGGCTCAGTGATGTTTCCTGGGGCACCCCAATGTTCTCACCAATTGCCAGCATGAGCCAGAAGGATCCCCCATAGGCCACGTGCAGGGTGCTGGTCCCAATCTGGATCAGGCACATTGGGGAGTTCCTCACGGTGGAGAAGGAGAGCAGAGAGAAGATCATGAAGGCCCCTGTGGCCAGGAGCATGTATCCTCCATAAACCAGGGCAGGCATGGAGAGGAGGATGTTGGAGATGACCCACGTGCAAAAGGCGACCCTGGAGGCAAGAGGAGACCAAGGGATGAGTGGTCATGGATTAGGGTGCTCTGTGGGAGGAGTGCCATGGATTAGGGTGCTCTGTGGGAGGATTTCCATGTGTTGGGAGCAATCTGGGCTCCAAGAGCTCTGCAGGAGGTGGAGAAGCTCTGTGGGCAGGCAGGAATGAGCCCTAATCCCCACGCTGAGCAAGTGCACGTGCAAGGCTCACATTGCTCCATCCAGCAGCACAAACACAGATCTCCTCCTCCCATTGCTCAGCCCACAGACAGCACCAGCCTCAAGGAGGCTGTGGCAGCCCCCTCAGTATATCTGGAGCATCCCTGCCCTTCCACACATGGGGCAGCCTGGGCCCTGAGAGCAGCACCAGGACAGGGATGAGTGCAGGAGCAGGCAAAGGTCATGTGCAGTAGCTCTGCACTTGCTGAGGAGCTGGGCTACAGAGTCAAGCCTCAGCTATGGACCAGGAGCTCTTGTTCCATGGCACTGCCAGGCTCCTTCCCTAGTTTCTGTGTCCCTGCTGTCTGTCACAGACATCTTTTATGATAAATCCTGTCTTTAAGATTTTTCCTCCTGAGAAGCTGAGAGGCCGCAGGAACAAAATGTAACCAATGGTTATCTGCTGCTGTGGAATGCAACAGGTGCATCTGGGATTGGGTTCATGTGGTTGTTTCTAATTAATGGCCAATCACAGTCAGCTGGCTCAGACTCTCTGTCTGAGCCACAAGCTTTTGTTATCATTCCTTCTTTTTCTATTCTTAGCCAGCCTTCTGATAAAATCCTTTCTTCTATTCTATTAGAATAGTTTTAATATAATATATATCATAAAATAATAAATCAAGCCCTTCTGAAACATGGATTCAGATCCTCTTATCTTCCCTCATCCCAAGACCCCTGTGAACACCATCACACGCTGTCAAACCCCAAGCAGGGAGAACAGCCCTGCAATGGTTCCTGATGGCCAGCACGTGGTGGAAGGGACCATCCCCTGCCAGCTGGGACCAGCTCTCCCCCAGCCCCAGTGGGCACTGACAGATCTCTGACCTTGCCAAAGAGTTGAGATCAGCTCCACAATAACAGCAGCAGGAACTTCTCCCCACCTGATCCCAATCTTAGATACAAAATCCACTCACAGGTAGGGCTGGGAGAGTTCATGTGTCCATGGGCCTCTCTGGGCCACCAAGGGCAGCAGCTTCAACTCCATCCATGGGGATGGACTTCTGCCACCATCACCACACCACAGCAGGGACCTGCATCAGGTTCCTCTCTCCTGTGCCCACCCCGTGGATTTGTCCAGCAGGGAGAACCAGGAGGGGGAACCAGGACTTCTCCTCTGCTCATCCCAAAGTGTCTACAGTGCCTGGCAGGGCCCCCTCCATGCACACAGCTTCCCTCCTGGCAGGATGCAATCCCACCCATCCCAAAGGCCGTGGGGAAGGGCAGCCAAGCTCCCCACACCCCTGCATCCCCCATGGTGGCAGCAGCACAGGACAGGAGGGCTCACCAGAGCATGGCTGAGGCGTAGTGCCCGGCGATGCGGTACTGCCTGTGCACCCCACAGGGGCTCTGCGAGCTGAACTTCTCTGCCACGTACAGGATGGGGCTGGGCAGCCCCTTCTGCAGCCCCTGGCTGTAGCTGTGGTCATAATCTGCCCCAAAGCTCCAGGGAAAGTGCTCGTTGTAGTTGATGGTCTCGTTGATCTGCTCCACTGGGTTTCCTGCGGGAGGCACCAGCTGAGCTCCTGCTGTGCCAGCCCTGGGCAGTGCCAGCAGCAGCAGCACGGGCACAGCAGGGCCCAGGGGCCTGCAGACACCCCAAGGGCCCTGCAGGGCAGCTGTGGAGCTGCTGGGGCCCCTGCAGAGGTGCAGATGGGGACACCAGACTCACCCCTGAGCGTGACGTTGACGCCGGCCAGGCCGATGTGCAGCCCGATGTCAGCGCTCACCTGCACGGGGCTGAAGGACTTGTAGGAGGTGTTTGCCTGCACCCAGCCACTCTGCCAGTCCCCTGTGAACTGGACAACTGCCAGGAAAAATAAAGCTGGGGTTAAAGCAGGTCCAGGCTTTGCTGTGCTCAAGGGGAGAATCACAGGTGAGTGGCAGCATTCCCACCATGGCACTGGAAGGGAGTGTTAGGAGGGCAGGAATGCTGATTCAGCCACCAGGACGTGCCCCAACCAGCTCCCACACCCTTCAGAACTCAGGTCCTCCCCTTGCTAAGCATCCACTCCCTGGATCCGGGAACAGCGGAGCTCTGATCCCCAGGCATGGACATCCTGATCTGATTCCTCCTTGGACATCCTCTCCAGAACTTCCCTGCAAGCTGCCCACCATGAAAAGCACTACACCAGCCAGGGTTCAGAGATGAGCCTGTCTGCCAGCCACAGGAACAGGGGTGAGTCTCATTTCCCACATCCAGCTCCCTGAATTGCACTGTTAGTGAATAGTAAAAGTCCTTGTCAAAAGGAAAGGTTGAGAGGGGTGGGAAGTGCCTTCACACCTTGGGCAGTCATTCCAGCTGGGTAAAAAAGAAAAATTGGAAGTTTTTCTGTTATATGTTTTGGGAACAGGGTATCCTTTTTGGAAGCACTTCCACTTTGCAGTGGGCTTCATTTTCCACTGGGGAAGGTAAAGCCGATGGTTTGATGTCATTCTGAGCAAAACCTTTCTGAGAAAATGTTCAGTTGCTGAGTCAACTTGTGAGGGCATTGATGCAGTGGGAGCTCCACAGGAATGTTTTGTGGCTGCAGGGGTGAGTGTGCCCTGCTGCTGCCAGACGGAAACTCTGACGCTGCCTCCAGAACAATTTGTTCTTCCCTGTGCCCGAGCAGAGCCCGACTGCAGCCTTGCCCCAGAGTGGTGCTGGTGGCTCTGCAGGGCTGAGCCATGGTCCCACAGCCCTGGCCTCCACCCCTCTGCCACCTCCAGCCTGGCACCAGGTTCTCAGGTGGCTCTGGTGGCATCTTCCAGACCCTGGGCACCCCCACACACTGGGATGGTCCCTGTGCCCCACAGCTGGTCCCAGTCTGGCCACCTCATTCTGGTGCCTGGTCAAATCAGAGCTGAATCTTTCAGGTCATCATTATCCCTCTCCTTCATCATCCCTCTCTGAGCAGTCCTGTAATCCATCTTGTCCTTCACAACAGGAAGGATGCTTTGGTTTAGGGTCAGGGCTGGTTTCTCTTGCCAACTGGCATCTTCTGTCCCCTCAGTACATCTTTTCTTATCCATCCTGTTGCCCTGAGTTGGAAATCCCACTGCCCGGTTTCTACCATCAGTTATTACAGAAGATTTCCTGGTTTTTTACCAAATTAAATCCTCTCCTTCATCTCCTCTGACCTTGCTCCTTGGGAGGTCTTTACCCCACCACTGCAATCTCTGCCCTGCCTGTGCTTTATTCCAACCTGCTCCCTCCAAATCACTGCAAGGCTCCTCACAATCTCCAAACACACCTGGCTGCAGCACAAGAGGGCTCACAGAGCGGGGGGAAATAATGGAAAACTGGTGAGGGGACTGTAAACACATCAACCAATGTGTAGGTGGGGTGTAGAAAAACCCAGAGATCACAGTGAGCACTGTCTAGCCTTGTGTGTTGGGGAAGTGGAGCACCTACTGAACAAGGGAAGATCAAAGGACATCAGTGAGCTACACCTGCACAAATCCCTGCAACACAGGTGAACACAGCAGGTTTGGGGATTCTTGGTGCCAGTTCCCTCCTTGTCTCTACCCAGTGCTGCTCTGAGGGTCCCCTGCAGGGTGAGATACTGAGAATAAATCTGCTCTTTGCATTTCATCCAAGCCTTTGTGGTTGTTCCTGCACCCTGCCTGTGCACCCTCCTGCACAGCTGGAGGAACATGGGGCTGTGCAGCCTGATGGAGCTGGAGCTGTTCGAGTTACACCAGCAAAACTCCCAGGAGTAACCACGAGCACCTCCAAGCACCCTCAGCCGCAGGGAAGGGGAAAGGAAGGGAAGGGAAAGCCATTTTGGGAAGCTGTGGGACTGCTTTGAAGAGCAAGGCTAAGGTAGACTCCAAAACCAGCTGTGGTTGTGCCCCCCAGCTCCAGGGTTCAATCCTTCCCCAGAGCCATCCCGGGGGCTGTCCTGAGCCATCCCCAGAGCTGCCCAGAGCCACCCATCCCCAGAGCTGCCCTGCACTTACCGACGATCACCACTCCCACGAAGAGGCTGAGGAGAACACGGAGAGTCCAGTACAGCCTCTGCAGGGGGAGAGGTGGGACATGAGGCAGCAGGAACAGCTCTCCTGCCTCCCCCTGAACCCCCGGGAGGGTCCCAGCACCCAGAGCCCCCATCCCCGGGATCCCAGCATCCAGATCCCCCAACCCCGGGATCCCAGCATCCAGAGCCCCCATGCCCGGGAGGGTCCCGGCACCCAGAGCCGCCCATCCCCGGGAGGGTCCCAGCATCCAGAGCCCCCATCCCTGGGGTCCCAGCATCCAGAGCCCCCATCCCAGAGGTCCCGGCACCCAGAGCCCCCATGCCCAGGGTCAGGGCACCCAGAGCCCCCATCCCCGGGGTCCCGGCACCCAGAGCCCCCATCCCCGGGGTCCCAGCACCCAGAGCCCCTATCCCCGGGTCACGCACCGCCCGGCCGCGGATGCCCGGGGTGATGAGCAGGAAGCTGCAAGCCAGCGTCAGGAACACCACGGTGACTATGATGGTGCTGATGTCAAACACGGCAGCCTTCCTCTGCTGCGGGTAGAAGGGGTAGACGCCATCGAAAAGAGTCATCCTGCACCTCCAGGAGCCTGCGGGAGAGAGGCGGTGGCAGCGGGGACCCTGCTCGGCCCTGCCTGGACGCCTCCAGCCTGCGGTGGCTCAGCTCTGGAGGAAGCAGCCGAGGGAGGCTCGCCTGAAGGGTCCCCAGAGGGACAAGGAAATGTGACGCTGCCAGGAGCGGGCGGGCAGAGCGCTCAGAGCACTCCCAGCAGAGGACACGCCACCCAAATCCCTCCGTGCAGGAGAGGAGGTGCCTGGGGCAGGCTCAGCAGCCCGAGGGGCTGTGGCACCCAAGAGCCACAAGCCCTTGTCCCTGGGGAGCAGCCCCAGAGCAGGAACCTGTCGAGCAGCTCCTGCCTGCACAGGGCCAGGCCTTTCCCTCCTCTTTGGGGTGGAAGGGCCCAAGCCCACTGGGGGAACTTCCCCGTGGGGAAAGAATGCAGAAGCATTCTCCTTCAAAATTACAAGGAACCACTGAAAACATGGATTTCACAATAGCAAAAATGATCCCCAGCCAGGGGCCAGCAGTGCCAAGTGGAACAAAGCCCGTTTCTCCCATTCCTGCCCATTTCCTCCAAGAAGATTTTCCCCGGGATCTGCTGGTCTGACAAAGGAGGAAGAGGAAGGATTGGTCCTGCACTTGTCTGAGAGGGGCCAGAAGCAGCCTCTATTCCCAGCATGAGGGTCCAAAGAACACTCAAAACTGTGAGCTCATCTCAAGGCTAAAGGAAGCTGAATTCTATAAAATTAAAAGGTGTGTGTAATTCACACAGAAGACCTTGACCTTCCTCTGGCACTCCACTTCCAGCAATTACACACCTTATTCCTGCGCCTGGGTTGGATCTTCTCTACCAAAACTGATAATATTCTTAGTCCTCTTGTTCTGCTTGTTTAATAACCTCTCTGTATGTAACTGCCCCAGGAAGTTTGCTAAACTCAGGGAATGCCAGAGCTGATCTGACTCGTGCCCAAGCAGTATTTTATTCTGTTCCTGTACAGAGCAGGTGATTTTATTCTCATTTTCCCAAAACAGTTTTAATCATATTTTTGGGTAAGATCCAACCCAGAGCAATTCAGCCACAAAAAGCTGGTCCCAAATCCCTGGAGATGAGTGGGGATCACAATAATTATCATAAAACAGTTTGTTTAGGCAGCTGAATTACTTTTCAATACTTAAAGCAATATTTGGTTTGAGAATAATTTTCTCTCCAGTAACCCAGATAATAACAGCAAAGAGTGGAACAAAGACTGGGATTTTACAATGGCTCTGAATTTAGCTGGACTGCTACAGACTGACAGAGCTGTCGTGTTCTCTTAAAAATCTTCTTTGGGGTTATTTTGCTGTAACAGCTTTGGGTTTATTCCTTGGAAAACCAAACCTGGAGAAAGGCAGCCTTCAAGTGTATTTACCTGGCAAGCAGGAGCTGCAGCTGATTCCTGATGTTCCTGAAGCCCAGCAAAAGTGCCCACAAAACAGTCAAAGCTGCTGCAAGAAAAGAAATAAATGAGTAGTTTAACTTAGGACAGATTAAATCATAATGGCTTGAATTCCACTTGTTCCTGGTACCTTTGCCGAAATTTCCTATGAGATACAATGAAGCAGGAAATATTTCCAAGTGTATATTCACCAAAACACAACTCTTCAGAGTTTAAAACTTTAAAAGCCAGAACATAGCATGGAGAATGCTGTCTTGTTAAATCTAAATTTAGCTTTCACCCAACACCAATGGATGTTTGCATTTCTGTAAGCTGGGACTTGTTTTATAGAGAACTTCCAGGGAAGCAACTCTTTTGCAGTCTGTCCATCTTTCTCCCTTGATTGCTCTTCCAGCATTTTTGCAGCTCTTTGGCATTTTTGCAGCTTTAAGTGGAAAAGCTCACAGCAGGAGAAACTGAACTTGTTGTACCTTGGGAAGCATCCTCCACACTGAAGTTGTGACCTTAGAGGGGACCTGTGGGTCCCTCTGTCCCAGCATATGGAGAGGGGAAAACTGGCAATATCTCCAAGGAAGGATCAGCAGTTCAGCAGAAATAGACAAGTTAATCTTATATTTTAAAATAGTCTGGATCTGGAGGAAAGACAAAGGAGGCAGAAAGTTTGCCCAAGCCCCAGAAGTATCTCCTTACAGAATCTCCACTTTCCTGCTCCAGAATGAATCAAGATAAAAGGATTTTTTTGGAAGTGCTCGGCCAAAAAACTCCTGGTGGCAGAGCCAGCAGCAATTCTAGCTGGGGCTAACAGCAATCCTGGCTGGGCTGCTCAGGGCTGCAGATTGGTATTTTCAATTGGAAAAAAAAAAATCCAGTCCCCTGGAAACTGAAACATCCGAACTGCAATTCCCAGCGGGGGAAAGAGGGGCGAGGAGGGAACCTGGCTGCACCTTCCTGCCCCTGGAACAGGGTGGAGTAGAGGAAACCGAGGGTTAATGCAGGTGGGAAGCATCCTCCCCTCGCAGCCCCCCGCCGCAGGGACCGGGGTGGGGGTGCCACCCCCTCCCACCACCTACCTCCCCTACCTCTATCTCCTCTACCTCCTCCTCCTCTTCCTCCTCCTGCTGCTGCTGCTGCTCTTGCGGGCGGCTCCGTCCCGCAGGGCGCTCTTATAGGGCGCGGGCCGTATGTAACGCGCGGAGCGCCCGCCCCGCCGCACTCCCGCCGCCCGCAGCGCTACCGGTGAGGCCGCAGCGGCACCGGGGGGACCGCGGGCACCGGGGGCACGGCCCGGGAGGGGATCGGGATGGGAGGAAAGGAGGACACGCGCATGGGGGACAGGGAGGTGGGATGGCATGGGGGACGCGTGTCCTGCTCGCGGGGCAGGGACACTCGCGATCCCTGCGTGTGTCTGAGGCAGTGGTGTCCGCACTTGGGAGGATGGCTGCGGGACCGGGGCCACGCGTGTCCCTGCCTGGGGTCGGGACCGGGGCCACGCGTGTCCCTGCCTGGGGTCGGGACCGGGGCCACGCGTGTCCCTGCCTGGGACCGGGACCGGGGCCACGCGTGTCCCTGCCTGTCCGCGGGGTCGCACCGCGCGCGTTCCCGCCTGCGTTGGAGCTGCGGGGCCGGGAGCGCGCCCGACCCCTCCGGCCCCGCGCACGCTGCGACCTGCGGGGCTGGGGCTGTCACTGCTGCAGGGGACAGCGGCTGGGGCTGTCACTTCTTCAGGGGACAGTGGCTGGGGCTGTCACTTCTGGAGGGGACAGGGGATGAGGCTCTCGCTTCTGCAGGGGACAGGGGCTGGGGCTACTCCTCCCCACATCCCGCTGTGGGGACACGCTGCGATGGGGCCGTGCCCGGGGGATGGAAGGGTCGGGCTGTGTCCCCCCGTGTCCCCATGCTCCGGGTGGTGAGTGAGCACGGTGAGCTGGACCCAGGGGATGGAAGGGTCGGGCTGTGTCCCCCCGTGTCCCCGTGTCCCCATGCTCCGGGCGGTGAGCGAGCACGGTGAGCTGGAGCCGTGCGTGGCCTCACCTGCAGGGTGCGGTGGAGCCCCGCACATCCATCGCTGCCGGGACAGAGCGTGTCCCTCAGAGCGAGGGACAGGAGACACCGCGGGCACAGGCAGAGACCCCTGATGCTCCTCCAGGGCACGGAGCCCCTGCTGTGCCCTGGGGCACTGGGGACACGGCTCGTGCAGATTGTCTGGGGCTGTGCACACCTCTAGGACACTCTGGGACCCAGGGCTGGGGACATGGAGCCAGGACTGACTGAAATCCCAGGACTGACTGGGATGTGGGGGAAGGTGGCAGCCCCCAGCTGTGTCCCAGCAGCTCTGGGAAGAGATAGAAACGAGCTGTGGCTCCCAAGGACCATAGGGATCAGGCTCCAGGCTCCTGGAATGCCTTGGATCTGCTGTGCTCTGGGTGACCACACAGGTTCTGCCGTGGGGCTGGTGCTCTCTCAGGATGCTGGTGTGTCCCACAATCCCAGGTGACCTGTGGCTCCAGGGAGAGCCCAGGGGACTCTTGGAGGCTGAAGCCCAAAGTTTAGGGGAGCCTACAGTTAAATCTTTAAAATCTGCTGGGATCAGGTGGAGCAGGAGGTCCTTGCTCTGTGGGAAGCTGTGTTTGCACTGACACATGGTTTTTGGGGGGGTGTGAAGCTCCAGGCTCTGACAGGACACAGGGATCCTCTCTGATGGGAGAAGATAAGTTTAATCTCACTAGATGCAGAGGGAGGGAGTGAGTTTCCAAAGGTGGCACAGGGAATCTCTGGAAAAGCAGAGTCTGGAGGGCTCATCATTACAATATTCCTGGGAAGCTTGACAAGGCTGTGGAAATAACCCAAACTTGCCAAACTTTCCCTCAGCAAGCTGCACCATGGGCTTCCAGGGGCAGTCTGTGAGATGACCACTGTGACTGTATCACCCTGGCCATGATCCAGACTGGAAAGCCTGCAGAGCCTTGGATTGATAAGGCAATGAGTGGATTTTAATTCCTGGGTGTAAGGAGATAAAGGGTTCATGAGAACTGGCACGTCATCTCACGGCTTGGGACAAGAGTCATTCCCATACCTGAGGACAAGGGAGGTGTGCTCAGTGACAGAAGGAATTTGAAAACACTTGTTGTGCTGGCACTCTGTGAGAAGAGCCAGGGGGAAAGGGGAGGTGACATGTGCTGTGGCTGTGGTGATGTGCTGTGAGCCTTGGCTCTGCTCTGTGTCTCCTGAGCCACGTCTGTGGCACCTTCAGACCCCGCTCTGGGTGGGGGGCAGCTGCACATTTGGAGTCAGGAGGAGATAAATCCAGCTGTGTCTGATAAATCCAGCTGTGTCTGATAAATCCAGCTGTGTCTCTGGGATCTCCCTTTCTGCCGCACTGGAGGCCTCTCTGCACAAGGCAGCAGCTGCTGTCCTGCCCAGGGAAGGAGCTGCTTCACCAGGCAGAGCTTCCAGGCAGGACAGTCCTGTCCCTGTGGCCATGGTGACAGCACTGTGCCCCTCCTGCCAGAGATCACAGGCACCTCCATGTGTCACTGGGAGCCAAACTTTCCTGTTCTTTGTACAGAATGGTGCTC